TGGTAGTGTTACTGGTAGTGGTAGTGGTAGTGGTAGTGGTAGTGGTAGTGGTAGTGGTAGTGGTAGTGGTAGTGGTAGTGGTAGCGGTAGTGGTAGTGGTAGTGGTAGTACATAGTGTTGGCGGTGGTGGTAGTACTAGGAGCAGCACTTGTAGGATGAGGAGGAGGAGGAGGAGCAGATGGGGGTCTTGTCTTCATCTGGTATGTCTGCAATATGATCTTTGAGGTTGGATGCTGTAGGCGAACAATGATGCTGGCTTTTTAGATTCCTGCTGTCACGAATGGGATGATCCCGGACCCTGGGCAAACTCCCAATATGCGTGTCACGAACATTAAACCCTGAACCCTAAACCCTAAACCCTAAACCCTAAACCCTGAACCCTAAATCCTTAAACACTAAACCCTCAACCCTAACCCTGAAGCCCTTCGGCCCGTGAATCTGAATGGCCCTTTTTCAGGCGGAGGGCTCAATGACTGTAGGGTTTCAGAGTGAAGTTTCTGGCGTTAGGGTTTCGGTCTGCAGGGGCTTAGCATTCTGGGATATTCTGGGTTTCATTTAGGGTCTCAGGGGTTAGCCAGGGTTTAGCCTGAGCAGGTTTAGGGTTTAGGGTACAACGCAGCCTGAATCGCAGGCTACCAGCACGAAGCGGGTCTCGGTGGCCTGCCTTTTAAATAGTCTGCTGCGTGAGGTCTAGAGTCAAGGTTTTGGAGTGTTAGGCTTCATGTATCATGTAAGGTTTAGGGTTTAGGGTTTAGGAAGGTTTGGTTTTACCGACTCGGTGTGTAAGGTTGGGAAGTTTTGATTCGGAGATCAACCTTGGACTGCAACTTGCGACAGTCTGCGAGGCCATTCCCCTAAACCCGCAAAGCAACACCTCAAACTCCAAGCCCCCTTGGTAGAGGCTTTAGGGTGACATCAAAACCCTGGCCACAGGTTTACTATGGGGCTTTGATGATTCCAGCAGAGTTTTGGAGCATAGGGTCTGCGGACGTTCTGGATTAGGGTGGGAACAAGGTTTTGAGGCTATACCCTAAACCCTAAACCCGAAACCCGAAACCCTAAACCCTAAACCCTAGACTAGACCGCTATTAGGGCGTCGTCACCACTGTTTGAGCGCCAGTTTGGCAGGGCAAAGTTCCAGTGTGGTCCTAGACCATTTCTGTGTTGTGCATGGCTCCTTTGCAAACCTCTACACTGCGAAATCTTCGGGCTTGCAATATAGGGTTTAGGGTTTTTAGGGTTTAGGGGTTTAGGGGCTTAGTGTTTAGGGTTTAGAGTCTACTTGGAGGGTCATGGGTGGTTGTAAGTGGAGTTATAAGTCCCCTAATATGGGCTATGATTTTCTTTACCCTACTTCTAACCCCACTGATAACTACCCATGATCTCCAACTAGGGTTTATTTAGGGTTCACCTTAAGGTACACTTAAACCTACTTTTAGGTTCTTATTACAGGTTTTGGTAGGTTAAGGTAGTAGGGTTTAGGGTTTATGGTTCGGCTGGGAGCCCGGACGATACGGTCACCAGACTGTCTGTGAGCGATCCATACTTTTGGTTAGCGGCCTTAGCTGCAGGAACCTACCTAGACCCTACCAGGTAGTACCTCTTTTAGGATACCCGATTCTATGGTTAGGATCCTATAGTAGCAACAAAAGGTCACCAACAAACCCCTAAAACCTAAACCCTAAAGTAAGGTACTGCGTTGGGTTCCAGCAAGGTTCTAATCGAAGCAGCATGAAGGTGACTTTGCCAGTTGAAAACATCGTGCAGTGGGTTTAGGGTTTAGTGTTTAGGGGTTTAGGGTTTAGGAGTTTAGGGTTTAGTGTCTGAGGGGTTTATGGGTTTAGGAGTTTTTGGGTGTAGGGTTTTGGGTTTGTCTTGTGCACCGAGACCCCGAGCAATAGGTTGCCGTCCGGTGTTTGCTATGTTGTATCGTCCCCAAAACAGTCAAGATGTCCCAACATCGGTAGATGCTCTTCCTACCGAGGGCACCTGGATAAGCACATCTTGAAGTCACATCTTGCTATTCTGGAAGTGGGTAGTTCTCTAAATTAGGGTCTCTTTTGGGTCCCCAATACAGTACGGCACTCTTATAAAAAGGATCCTAAAACGACCCTAATTTAGAGAACTACCCAAGTGCAGTTGGGATCTGCCGAGGTCAAAGAGCTTTTGCAAGAAAGTGCGCCGGCGAAAGCCCCTGCACCGCAAGTGGCGACAGCTTCCCCGAAGCAGGTGCCGGCACCTGGCCTGCAGCCATCAGTGCATGACAGCAGTGTTTTGTTAGTTTTGTTTTGCCTTCGTTTTGTTGGACGGGTGGCCTGAAGAGAGAGAGAGAGAGAGANNCAGACAGACAGACAGACAGAGAGAGCTGGCGAGAGCAAGAGAGAGCGGAGTGCTGGGACGGCCAGTGGGTCAGTCCTCATGTGTGCGATTGCCACATGGCTAAATTTATCTGTCACAGCAGCGATTCCCGAGGCAGCGCAGCCTCCCACACGGCAAGCGCCAGTTGACACACCTCCAGAGGCCACCAAGCCCGTGCAGGCAAGCAAGGCCGCTGTGCCCCAGACAGCGAGCCCCGAGACCCCTGCGCCCACGCAGGAGAAGCCGGTGGCAAAGGCACCACCAGCCCCAGCCCCTGCGACTACAACAGTAGCCGCCGCGGCGACGCTTGCGAAGCCGGCAGCGCCTGTAGAAAGTTCGGCCGCTACCGATGCAGAACCCGTCTTTGACGAGGCAGACCTAGACGTGCCCTATGTTACGGTTCAGTTCAAGCTTCCGGATGGCACACTGCAAGCACCTGGGCAGGATTGAAGCACCCTCCTGCCAACTGATGAGCTAGCTGTTTTTTTGCACTGGATGTTGGCCTGGCGGCAAATATGAAAATATGTGTGTGTGTATATATATATATAGATATATATATATATGTATATGTGTGTATATATACATACATACATACATACATACATACATACATACATACATACATACCTTGGATGCCGTATTATATCCGCACCGCCGTAAATTCTAAGCACGCTGTCTTGTGGGGAAGTGTATTGTCATTAAAGCGCGGATGTTGGAGCAATCAAAGCCATCACCGCTGAACCTAGCCAAACCATGAACACATAACTCAGGACGTCTACTTCCTCACATTTCCGTTTGGTTTCGACCTCAACAAGACCAAGCCCATCACCGTGAGGCCGTGCCCTAATTCAAGACTTAGGGATACTAGAGTTACTGCACGGTTGGTAGGGTTTAAGGCTTGCTAGCCCCCAGATCCTGCAATCCTTGAGCCTAAATTGTCGGATGGTTTGGGTTCCTGTGCATTATTCTTACCACGGGGTGGTTGGGTTTAGGGTTTAGGGTTTTTGGTTTAGGGGCGTGTTCAAGCGTTTCTTTGGCCTTTGCGGTCTTTTATAATTTGTTGAATTAGTCTGCCCGCTTTAACATATTACCGCCCGGCACGCCTACCCCCACCTAACCCCGAGACCCTTAGACCTAATTCGGCCTAAGGGTTTCTTGGAAAGCCTAATTAGGTACAGGGCTCTCATCTCCCCCCCCTTTGGGCGCCCTACATAGAAGTTTGTAAATATGCTGTAGGAATAACACCCTAAACCCTAAACCCTAAACCCTAAACCCCTAACTCATCCTTCCGTAAACCCTATAAACCCTAAGCACGACTAGGATCTTCCTGCAAGTTTGTGCCCGTTGTGCTCCGCATGAGCCTTTCGCTTTAGGGTTTAGGGTTTAGGGTTTAGGGTTTCGGGTTTTGGGGGGTAGCGCAGGCAGCTATAGTCCAATAGCTTGACACACACCCTAAACTCATCTAAACCCTAAGCCCCAATTCAGAATCCTTGAGGCACGTATCCCCAGCTCCAGGATTAGGGTTTCGGGTATAAAGTAGGGGCAATAATAAGTACCTACATTATTTTGGGCGTTTCTGGTTATAAGTATAGTATAATGGGCCCCAGAACCCGATTCTAATTATTAAGGCCCCTATAGTAGGGTTTAGGGTCTCAGGTGCCAAGAGTCCCAGCATCCCACTTCCCAGGCTCAAATTAGTGCAAAGCCACGCGACTGCACCCTAAACCCTAAACCCTAAACCCAAGTTCAACGAAGATTAATCAGATAAGCCAGATGCTAGATGCTTACAAGTGCGTGAGAGCTGACCTTAGCAGGTCCCAAAGGCCTCAAGCACCCTGTGAGGCTATCCCCAAGGATCCATATTGGGTAGTTGTCAAAATTATGGTCCCTTTTGGGGTACCATCCATATGGGAGTTTCCGAAAATGAGGGGTAGCTTTTTTGGGGGTCCTTATAATAAGGATCCTACTATTTAGGGTACTATGTTAGGGTCCCCTATTTTCTGAAATTCCCCCCATATAGCCAAATAGTATATACATTGGCCCGAAAGTACCTGTATTGTACCCTAAACCCTAAACCCTAATCCCAAAACCCTAAACCTTATACAGTATGGGGACTACTTTAAGGCCAAAGCTTTTGCGACTTGGGTACACGGACCCTTAGTGCATGTCATCCTCAACACTCAAGTCTACCGCGCCAAGATCCAAAGGCGCGTGACTTGAGGATTGGGGTCTGAAGATCCACTTCCTTCTGCAATCCTGATATACCAGGACCCCCAAATGGCCCTTTAATTAGAGCCTTTATGGTCCTTAATGGCGGGTATTTGTGGGATAATAGAGGGTATTTGGGGGGTCTAGGCAGGGGCCTTAATAATTACCCATATTATCTTGGGGGCTCCTTATTATAATTATAGTATACTACCCCAAAACCCTATTCTAAAAATTAAGGCCCCTATATTAGACCTGACTTGAGGGGTCTGGGGTTTTGGGGTGTAGGTTTTGGGGCGTTGGGGTTTAGGGTTTCGGGCTCTGTTTAGACCAGACTTATAGGGTGATTGGACATATGAAGCTAATTTGTGGTTATCCTAGTCATATCCGGTTACAACCTACGTTTTTCACCTGCTTACGACGTTCTCTAAGTACCTACAGTCTCCATTGTAGTTCCTTTGTTGGTTGACCAAAATTTATATTATAGGATCCTAACCATAAAAATTGTTAACCAAAAAAGGAACTACAATTGAGACTATAGGGAGTCCATAATTAGAGCGGTGCATCTGAATCTCAACCTGCGGCAGGAATGTGCGAGCGGGAAGTCATGCAGAGGATCTTGGAGTGCAGGCCTTCGCTTTAAATGTGGGATCGTGGCTTCGCAAATTTGGGGTACCCTTTCCCTGGTCTGACTGTTGGTATGTAAAGTCGTAAGGCCCATGTTATCTTAGATTGTCGAGATTTTCAGTGGAGATTTGTCGGGAGGGAAGGTTACCCTCAAACCCTAAACCCTTGTAGAGCCCTTATAGACCCCGTTTCAGGAACCCTTCTAGTAACCCTTATAAAGAGCCCTTCATTAGGGTTAATGTACGAGTGAAAGAACATTAAACTTAGTAAGTCGGTTTCCGGGCCGTGATGGGTATCCTACCAGTGTTTTGCGCGTGGCCGCCGCAGGAAAGAACCACGTGCGCACTATGCACCCGCAGCCTTTTTGTTGGGTTATCCTCACTGGAACAGTCCTAACTTGTAATATAGGGGCCTTAATAAATAGAATTGGGATTTAGGGCCCACCATACTATATTTATAATAAGGACCCCCCAAAAAATAGTATTGGTAATCATTTAGGCCCCTACATTAATCTATTTGATTGCTGTGGGCCCCTTCAGCCTCCATGTACAGGTCAAGGTGGTCAGGATAGTGCAGCTTTATGGTGCATTGGCACCGAGGGTTTCGGGTTTAGGGTTTAGGGTTTGGGGTGTCCGGATCATGCAGTGTTTCCGGGCTTGGCTAAACCCTATAGGCTAAAAAACCTAAACCCTAAACTATTGCTTCCAGCATTGCTCGCGGGAGTCCTAGTTTAGGGTTTAAGGGAGCTGCATTCCGATTTGCGGTCTGTGCAAGAGTAGCGCAGGAAGCTCCAGCATTTTCCTGTACGGTTTAGTCTTGCGGACCTGGCTGTACCACCTGCCGGGCTTGGGGTTTAGTGTTTAGGGTGCCGAGTTTGGTGACTATACGGTTGATGATATATATATATATATATATATATATATCCTGCACTAGGTCCTTAAGGTAATGCAGGATGTATATCATCAACAGTAGTTCTGACACTCAGCGAGCGGCTACTTCGGCATATCCACACACCGACCTCAAACCCTGAAGCATCTCATCGGCAAAACCATGGGGGTTTCCGAAAACAAGGGGTACCTTATCTTTGGGGGGCCTTGTAACAAGGATCCTACTATTCAGGATACTATATCAGGCTCCCCTATCTTCGGAAATCGCCAGACCTAGTGGCCTGCAGCAAAGCCATGAACTTTCAGGTTATTTAGGGTTTAGGGTTTAGGGTTTAGGGTAGGGTAGCATGAAACCGTCCGCCTTAGATCTCGCAACACCCGCAGCCCCTGGTTGAGCCCATCAGGATTCGATCGATCTCTCTTAGACGGTATGAGGCTGCGTAGGGCCTGCGCCTGATTTTAGTGAAGTAGAAGCCAGAAAGTTGAAGCAGCATGATCCGAATGCTTTTGAGATCGAGTGTCTTACAAGAACTCGAGCAGTATGCATCCTCAGATCATCGTCCTCTTTTCTGGAGTTCGCGATAGGGCACTCGGGCAAGGGTGCTTGCGGCTTAGGGTTGCAGAGCTCGCAGAACACGTCATTCTTATGGAGGTTGGCTGGAGCATTCAAACTGTCGGCGAAACGGATGTCTCCAACATGTCTCCCGGCTCTTGCTGTAGCTGTGTGGTTTAGCCGATCAAACGGTCAACATCTGCCCAGCCCCCCGAAATGGGAATTTCTGAACATATGGGGTACTTTTTGCAAAAGTCCTTATAATAAGGATCCTACTATATAGGGTACTCAATTGCTCAATTAGGGTCCCCTATTTTCGGAAACCTCGAAATACTCGAAAGCTCTTGCGGCCCTGGTCGCTTCATAGACTATTCGAGCCAGGCCCTTAGCCCCAAATCCGCTAACGTTTAGGGTTTAGGGTTTAGGGCCCTTAAAACCCTATTCTGATTATTAACGCCCCTACAGTAGAGTACCCTCGTGGAGCCCTGGCAGAACCTTCAGACCCTGGAAACCCCATCGTGAACCTGCCCGAGGGAGTCTAGACGGTTTAGGGTTTAGGGTTTTGGTTTAGGGTTTAGGGTTTTGGGTTTTGGGTTTTGGTTTAGGGTTTAGGGTTTAATCCCCACGTCTGCCGTTTGTCTTGCTTCGTAAACCCTACCCGGACCCTTGGGAACCTCCTGTTTTAGGGTTCCTGATGGTGATTTCCTTATCTGAGGCCTTTCGGGTCTAGGTAAACCCTAAACCCTAAACCCCTAAACCTTAAACACTAAACCCTAAACCCTAACCCCTAAAAGCTAGCCGTGAGTTTGCGGTTCCGGGCTGTGGGGTTCAGGGGGCTCTGCCAAGCCTAGGAGCTAGGGTGCAGGAGTTGAGGATTTAATGTGGGGGGTTTTGGGGTTTAGGGTTTAGGGGCCTAAATTGAGGTTAGGGCTTATAGGGTTTACTATTTTGGGGTTCCTTGTTGCAGGCCCCTAGTAAAGCTTTCTCCCGCCTGTCTCTCTTCGGGGTCCCTGGTCCAGGTATTCCTGAACCCTAAGCCCTCAGGCGGTTCAGACACATATTTAATGTGGGGGGTTTTGGGGTTTAGGGTTTAGGGGCCTAAATTGAGGTTAGGGCTTAGGGTTTACTATTTTGACCCTAGCCTACTACAGCCCAAAGCCCCCTAGACCTAAACTCCAAACCCTTTTTGCCAACCGCAAATCCTCAACCACAAGGCCTAAACCGTAAAGGGAACTCCTACGTGTCCCAAAGCCAAGGAGATTGGACCTCCAAAACCAGAGCCCGCAATTTAGGGTCTTGGATGTAAAGTATTAGGGTTTAGGGTTTAGGGTTTAGGGAGGTCTGAACAATTAATTATACGGTTTCGGGTTTAGGGGCTTGAGGTTCTCAAATTTACAAGCATTATCCAAGCAACATCCCCAAATTACTATACTATGCTATGCGACACTATACCTTGCTATATAATAGTATGCCCCTCCACCCTTATTCTGATTTCCCTATTCGGATTACTAGGGCCCTATATAGGTAGTTCTCTAAACTAGGGTCACTTCTTATCGCTCCAAT